GAAACCATACTTGTTTTTTAAATATGTTCCTGGTCCTTCCTGGCCTTCACTGATATTTTTGGGCATGACTAGATTTAAGTCTGGTTCATGTAGAAAGAGCTGAAGTACATTCAAATGCTTCCCATGGTTTCACCCTTCATCTGCTGCAGACAGCAGGTTGTTCCCAGGACACCTCTGTTCAAGACCAGTTGTCAGGGAGACCCTGTGAGATGAAAAGTGTTAGTGAGAGAAAGCCACAGGCTAAGGAAACACCAGGACAGGGTGGCTGAAAGACATTTATCATCCTTGTTTTTACAACCTTGCCTTTCCACAGCTTTCCAGCACTGAGCTGCTCAGTGTCTCTCTGGGAGAAAGGCTTTTTCCCCCATCCCCCCACCCCAGTTTGCAGGTAGGAAAACTGAGGTGGAATTTAACTCCAATAACCATTCAAGACCCAGGAAGCTTTTTTCCATCAACAGGTGTTCATCCCAACTGGCATCCTTCCACGGGACTTCCTGGTGAATTTTAAAGCATTATCCTCCCATTTTATAGTAAATAAAGGAGACAGAAAACCCCATCAACTCCATGAGGAAGCTCCACCACACTTACTTTACAGTGAAATGCTGTAGGCACAGAGAAACTTAGCCCAGGTGAAACACTGGGCAGAGTGAGACATATCTGAAGTGCATGGTTTGTGTGTCAGCCAGATCCATGACCTGGGAACAACCACCTCATTTTAGGTACCTAACAGAGACACCAGCACAACCCTGCACTGAAACCCACCAGCACACACAAACTCAAGATGTTATGGTGCGGGCAGGGGTGGCTGCACAAAGGTGTGGTCTCTTGGTGTGAGAACTATTGATTTGTGTGAAAGGCAGCAGAGAATTGCAGATCTCCTCATGGCAGGCTTTGGGGGAAGTTCCCAGAGAAATGGTTCCATAGAAAGAAGCTGTGGTTTTTCTACATCATCATCCTGATTTTATTTTTTTATTGAGGAAAGTGGAAGTTGTGTAATAGGAGATGAGAACAGACTAATGGACCTATGAAGCAAAAGCTATTTCCTAAGTACTGGCTCACTTGAAAGAATGGGGGGAAAAATATGCACAGAGAAGGACAAGACTGATAGAAACTTGTGTCTCACAATAGAAATATTCACATGAGAGACTCTCTATTATGCAGACACTGGCTGTCAGGAGGAATGTGTATTGAAAATAAATGAGTTCTATCCTTGGATTGTCATGGCCACTGAAAATAGACAACAGGGAAGGAAGGCACAGCAGGCCTGGGCTCTGAGGTTTTGTGTTACCTCCAGAATAAGCTGGAGATGGGAGGAAGCACGTTCTCCATATTTTCTTTAGCAACTAACCTGACTGAAAATCATGCTCACACACCAGAGCACCCCCCCTGCCATCCTCTGAATATTTCTGGCAGGGTTTGGCTGCTGGAGCTGATTTTTCTCAGGAAGGGGGGACTGAGGTAGCCCGTTCCTCCTGCTGCTCCTGTCCTTGGTGTCTCAACCCAGGTCACCCCACCAGTTATTCTGCCATTGCCCCATGGGCTGAAAGAGGTTTTTCAGGTTTTTCTTCCCCCTGTCCTCATGAAGTTGCTGTGCCACACACAAAATCTGACAGGCTCCCCTGCCATTACTCAGTTCATCCCATGCTGGAAGAGCAAAGGACCAGGAGCCACAAGAACAGGCCTGGGGAACAGCCTTTGCTCCAGCACCCCCATGGAGATACACAGAAAATCCCAGCACTGTGTCTAGGGCTGAGGAGCCACAGCTTTACCACGCTCAGCAGCAGTAGGTTGGGAAGACTTTAATGTCATGTCAAGCAGCATGAGCACAGCTCCTCCAGAAAAATGCCATCTGTGAGGTCATTTTCAACCAGGACCTCCTGGGAGGAGCAATGCACAAAATAAAAAATAAGGGATTTCCTTGGCTGCTGCTGTTTTCAGGCTTCCCTCCTTCCCATACACCCAGGGAATGGGTTTGCTAAAGTGTGTTCTGCCAATTTGCTGTTCTTCACTGCTTTGCCTACAGCAGAACTCTGCATTATCTTTATCTGCTGCTCTGTGCATTGTGATGCCAGCTCAGGAATCAGCACATCCTCTGCTAGGACCTTGCTGTTCCCTTGGGATAGATCTTTGTGGGAAAACTTAGGGAACTCACCCCTCTGGGCAGACTGTAATTTGGGGAGCTGTTGTCTGGGAGGGATTAGACATTGTCCTGGGGAGAAGGAGCAGAGTGTAAGCAAAGCACAGCTCTAATCCTTTTAAGAAAGCAGCAATAGAGAATTGGAACAGGGGAGCTGAGGAGGAAGGAGGGTGAAGGCAGGTTTTATGAAGTACCAGGTGCTGCTGTTCCAGGTTCTGCTTTCCTGTGCAGCAGGAGCAGGGTGAGTTCCATTCAGGGGACACTCTGCACCCAACACCCCCTGGGCACCCAGAGGGGTGGCAGATGGCAGCACTGCCCTCACTTCTCTAGCAGAACCTCAGTGCAGAGTTAACTGCCTTGCTGCATCTTTCTGCTGCAAAACTCCTGCCTCCTCTGCTCCCAGATGAATTTGGGAGTATGGAAAATGAGCCAGAGTTCTTCGCTATAATGATGTGTTACAAAACTGCTCTGGGATTTACACTCCTTGGCTCCTGGCAGGAGAGAAACCAGGCTTTAGTGATGATGCTTCTCTTTTTCCAACTGGAAATGCAGCAGAATGGATGGGCTGTCACAGAGCCCACATGCAGTTGCAACAGGTTGTTGGTGATTTAATGCAACATTCATCCAGGACATGAGGTTCTGACTCAGCCTGGAGGCAGCTCAAAGACCTTTGCTGCCTGTTCCCTGTCAAAAGACCTACCCAGCTTTCAAGCAGATGCTTTTTTTTGCAGCCTTTTATCTCAGAGAGGTTAGGTCTGGCAGGAAAACATGGTTGTTGTTCCCCATTTGCATACATACTATTCTGGATTTCCATTACCTGAGGGATTACCTAGAGTCAGTGAGACTGAAACCCTGTAAGAAAGGCACAGCAGGCAATGCTGGGAGGATGTTGTCTTCTGGATTATTGAGGAGCTGCTTTGCAGAATGGACTGGAGTGTTTCACTGCTGTTTCTGATGCTCTACAGCACTTTGACAAGCACTGTCAGTCTCTAATAGCCTCTCTGTTCCTAGCTGGCCTTCACCTGTTTCAGCAGAGCAAGGATTTATTCAGCAGGCAGGGAATGTTTAGTCTTTCTGGAAACTACTGTATCTCCTCTGGGAAAAAAAATAGTCATTGTTTCAGAAACAGCTACCTTGAAAACCAGGGAAATTACACCCCACGACATCCCAAGAGCTCCCACCTGATCTGAGAACAAGACCTGATTTTTAAAGTCCCTCAGATGTTTTGTCCCTGCTGTTTACTTGTTGGCTTTGAGGCTTTTGCTTTTGGCTGGTGTTTGTTGCATTCTTGGGAAGCCCATGAGCACGATATCTCCCTCTCCCCACACCCTTGCTGTGGACAGGGGAGGTCTGTCTGTTCAGATCTGTCCTCACTCCCAAGCTCTTCTGTCCCCTAGACTTTCACATCTGTTTCTCCCTTTCTATCCCACTCTACAGACACAGTCACACATGGCTTTTCTTCAGCAAGCTCTTCTAGTGACTTTCTTGATACCTTCCTATGACTTGCATGGCTCGAGCTGCTCAGATCTGCCCAAGGAGCAGAAGGAAAGGAGCAGTTTGCCTGGATATCCAGTTTGAATGGTCAGGGACCCAGGGCTATGCACAGGCAATAACTGAGGTGTAAAATGACGTGTTCCTGCTCAAACGTTTGAAGAGAGCAGAGTCCAAGTGACGGCCACGACTTTGTGGCATGAGTCAGTTGGGCTCATTTTCTGGGAGATATCCAAAAGCAGCAGAGACAGAAAACATTCCCTTCTTCTAAAACCAGACCAAGATCCTGCTGACAGACCAGGCCATCATGAAACTTGTGCACCTGCCTGTCTGCAGTGAACAGAGCAAGCAGCATCACTCCCAGGGAACCAACCAGCCACAAGCTCTGTCCAAACCCCAGACTGGCCAAGGAACCAGCCAGCCTGGCCTGAGAGCACAGGACAAACCAGCCAAGTCTCCAGCCCACACACTCACATCTGCCAAGACAGAACCCAAACCAGCAGCCCAGGGGTGCAGCCCCCCTGCAGCCCCCAGCCTGGCTCCAGCACACAGGAACAGCATTTCCTCCAGGCAACCCACTTCTGTTCTTTTGTTTCAGGCTGGTACTTTCTGCCACCCAGGCCAGCCTGCACTGCCATCAGGGTGTCATCCCAAAGCTGTAACTGAGCAGCACCTCCTTTCTTCAGGACCTTCAGGCTACCCAGCTCACTCAACCTCCCCAACAGCCTAAGAGCAGACAGATCAGACCTGAGCCTGATTTTTTTTCCTCTCCCCCCACCGCCCCCCCCTTTTTTTTTCTCTAGCACAGCAGCAGGAAGGGACCCAGCTGCTGCCCACGCTGTGCAGCAAACTAGGATTTATGAGCCACGACCACCAGGAACAAGCAGAAAAATTTTCCCCTCCACAATTCCAGCAAGGCTACAAACACCCAGGGGGATACACTTGGCTTCAGACATCCCTCAGTGCCCACTTTTCTTGCTGGCTCTTTCCAGACCTCTCTACTCTCTTCAGCTGGCTAACATTCACTGGCCATAGCAGGAGACCCCCAAGCCCCCTCTGATGCTCAGCAGGACCCAGCTGGCACCCTGGTCTGACACCAAGCAGCCACCTGGGAGCTGGGGCCTTGTGTAGGATGGAGGCTGGACCTGCTGCAAGCCCTTTGCAGGGCTGGCCCCACATAACCCCCCCATTAGGGCTCCAGCAAACAAACTTCAACTCAACAGGCTGCTCCTCCTGGCAGGTGCCATTCGCTCATCGCATCATGCCCACACAAGGTTGGCCAGTGACCTCCAGTGCTGTCCTGGTCCTGTGAAACCACCACCATCCACACACCCAGAGAAGAGGAAAGCAAAGAGTGTCTGCTCATACTCACAGTTTTGAAGTCCTCGTGGTTGCACTCTTGGCCTTTGAATTTGCAGTACAGCATCATATCCTTCAGGTCGTGTCCTACCCGCGCCAGGAACTCCTGCATGTTGAAAACTTTTGGTTTATACTGTTTAAAATTGGCCTTTTCTTGGAGGATGGCCAAGACGGCCGGGTCAGCCAGGTGAGGGTTGGGGATCTGCAGGTTGACATCAAGCAGAGCCAGGAGCTCCCCAGCGTGGTACAGGTCGTTGGTGGTGAGGCGGGAAAAGCGAAACTCGTTGAGGTTACAGATGGTGACAGCAGGGAAGACCAGGCTGTTTGCCACCACCTCATCCACTTTGGTCACGTGCTGGTAGGACAAGTAGAAAGCCACCCTGTCTGAACTCTCAACCAGGAGGAGACCCAGTGAGCCCACAAAGGCCAAGGTCCAGAGCAGGCGCCGGATGGTCACTGGCCCGTAGACGAAGACGTGACGGATCCCGTGGAGCGTGGAGGTGTTGGCAAAGATCTGGATGCTGGAGGGCTGCAGGCTGCCCATGCTGCCCTCGCTGGTGCTGTCCTTCAGATCCATCAGGGAGAGTTAGTTAAATCCTGGCACTGCTTTTCGGGTCAGCCTGGAGCTGGAACTGGGATCCGGATCTCCCTCTTCCCCTCTGGAAAGTAATTTGCCTTCCAAAGGCAGGAGAGAGAAGGAGAATCTCAGGCCAGTGGATCCCACGAGCTCAGCAGCAGCTTCGTAGGGGTAAATATTTATATAAAATCCATTCAAACTCTGGCTCTTGATTTCCTCGGAGCGATAAGAAGGGCTGGTTTTATTTAGGGAGACACCAAGGTGATGTGGAAGAGATGTGGGTGGGCAGGGAGAGCTGAGCCAATGGCAGCCCAGTCCTCCCCCTGCACACACACACACACACACACACACACACACACACACACACACACACACGCACACGCACACACACACCCAGCGCCGAGCGGGATGAGATGGAGAGAGAGGGAGCTGGGAACAAGTGGAGGCAGCTCCCAGCCTGGGAACTAGTGCGGAAAGCCCAGGGATGCTGTTCCCTGCAGAGCAGCGGGGCTTTCAGCCCCAGCCCTTGGTGCTCCGGGAATGCGAGGTGCTGGATTCGGGCATCTCTTTTTCTCCCCCCCCCCCGCCCTTTCCGCTCTATTTTGGGCAGTGCTCCAAGAAATACCCACCCCAGAAAAGCCACCCCTGTGCTGCCGGTGGTATTTCCGAGGGCTTCTCTCGGGGAAAAGGGAGCAGTTAATTCAGCAGAAGTACCGGAGGGAAAGGGGGAGGGAGAAACTGAAAAATAAAGGAAAAGGGGGCGGGAGGCGATTGCTGCTCAGCTTCATGCACAGACGGGGACCAGGGAGCAGCGTGAGGCTTCTCCTCTGTCTGGCAGCTCGGAGGGAAAAATCAGGGCTGAGGCAGAGGGAGCAGAGGGGCTGCAGCATCTCCCCTCTCTGTGTCTCGGATCTTCCCTTCGCTTCGGGGCTCTGGAGAGAGCGAAGAGCCCCGGAGCCCGGGAGAGGGCAGGGGCTGCAAGGGGGACCTGGGGGGCTGCATCCCTGGAGCCTCGGGGGGTGAGTCCGGGAGCTGTAACCAGGAGGTTCTGTAGCCCCCGGGAGCCGCCCCCGGCAGCCTGGTGGGCAGCAGGAGCTCCAGATGTTGGGCACTGACAGGCAGCTGTGAGGGATGTGGCTGGGGAAGATGGTCCCAGATGTGCGTTCAGCTGGGAGGGTTGGAAGGTGGAGGAAAGGGGAGGGAGGCAAACAGGGAAGTGTTTCCTACCCAAGAGATCCTGCAAAACCCTGTGTTGGTGCCTCCACACATGGCAGGGTCCTCAGAGCAGGAGGTGGGAGTGAGTGGGGTTCAGCCCAGAGGGGAAAGGTGCTGGGGGTGAGCAGGGCTGGAGTAGCTCCCCTCTCTACTCTCAGTGCACAGCAGTATTTTTACCTGCTTTGTTTCAGATCCAGGTCTGAAAACCAGTTTTTGTACAGCACCCAGCACTACAGCAGATGGGGCCATGGTGAGCACCCAGGAGGTGGCTCTCCCAGCTTGGATGAGGTGGGAGCAGAGGGTCAAAGCACAAGCCTCCCCCATTCTGCAAGGTGACCTCAGCCACCCATGAAGTTGCCCGAAGGACAAACCCAAAGATTATCTGGGTCAAAATGAGCCCAGTGTTTGAATGTATAACCCTAAGTGCTGCTGTCAGTAGAGCAGACCCTGGAAGATCCTTTGAACTGTTTGGTCCCAGCTGTTCTTCATGTGCTTCACCTCCACTGATGGACCCCTGAGCCCCTTGTCCCCTGGCCATGAGCCACCCTGTCCTCCCCCTGATGAGTTTCACTCAGAGCTAAGATAGTTTCAGATTTTTCTTCCTCCAAAGCCACATTTGGCCCTGGCAGCCCCAGACCAGCCAATTGTGGCCACCTCCCTACACAGAGCATCCCATGGGAGCATCTCTCAGCTGAGCTCCTCATCCCAGCACTGCTGTGACAGCACAGTGCTACTCTCTCCATCTCATACCAGGGAAACTGAGGCAAAGAGAGGACAAAGTCACCCAGCAAGCTTGCAGCACAGCCATGAGTTGGATTTCCCAGAAGGTCTCTCAGTGAACCAGCTTGCTGCCCTAAAGCTGATCCCTCCTTCCACAGCCAGAAGGCTCCAGGACTGTGCTAACATGGTCCTCAGGGGCAGTTGGGGTGCAGAGGGAGCAGGAGCTGCCACATGAGGCTTGTTTCCTCTTTCCCCACTACAGCCCTGAAATGCAAAAAATGGTCCCTTCTCCTGTGTCTCTGCTCATGACTGAAAGCCAATGCAAACCCATTTGTGGCTGAAGAGAGCTGTGCCTCTTAGTTCTCAAGCAGGAATTCAGCCCAGGTGAGGCCTTCAAACCTCCTGCATCTTCTCATGCCCTTTCCAGGGGTGGGGGTGGAGAAGACTCATATATAAGTGAGCCAGAATTAAAGCAGCAGAGGACAGAGAGGCCACAGCACCCTTGTTCCTGGGTCCCAGACCTTGCTGCTTGTCTACCTTTTGTGCTCACCATCTCTCCTGTGGACAAGACCATTTACCCCTAAAAGTTTCCTGGCATGAATGAGCTCCCTTTTCCACCCCTGACCAACACCATCTGCAAACCCCCCCTTCTCTCCCCTCAGGCTGCATCCCTGGGCCTGCCATGTTAATGCTTTCATTTGTTCATCACTCAGGCTGCTTCTCCAATCCTGTTTGTTGTAATTCACACCACAGACCATCTGCTGCCTTCAGGATTTACCTGTGGAGAGAGCTTTGGCTGCAGTCTGGAGGGAAAGGCCCCATCCCCAGCAGTGCTGCCTGGTACCAGCACCAGATCACCAAGCTCTGGTCCCACTGCCCATGGGGCTGAGGACAAACCAGGGGGACAAAAGCTCTGCAGTGAGTGCCTGTGACTCAGGTTCTGCCCAAGCTGGCTTGATGTCCTGAGAGCCAAGGAAAGCAGCTTGAGTTGTGCCCAGGGCTGGGCTATGGGATGACAGCACCAAGGATTGGGGATGTGGGTTGTGAGGGATGGAAAGGGCTGTTGGCACCTCTGGTCACCCATGTGAAGGGCCCCTCTGCAGGTGGGTGTGCACGGGAAGGACAAGGCAGCCTGGCTGGTCCCATGGAAGCCCCTGGGATGGCAGAGAAGAGCTAAGGGGACCTGCCCTCCCCTGCTGGGGACGCCCAGGGCAGCACATCCCTGGGGGCTGAAGCTTTGGCAGCTCAACCCAACGGCAGCCCCTGAACATCCCTGGCAGACTTGGCTGCTTCAGATCTCCTGCAGACCCCAGGGTAGGGCAGCCAGGCTGGGCAGGAAGAGGTTTCCCCAGGAAAATCCGCTTCTCTCCCATCCAGGGGTGGGTTGATGGAGGGAGGGAGGGAGGCAGGGCCGGGGGGGCTGAGGGACCCCCAGGAACAGAGCCGGGTCCCCTGCTCCTTTGTGCAGCCTCTGCCTGCCCTCTGCTGTCTCCAGCCCACTCTGCACTGCTCAGGGCGAGGGATCCCAGCCCTGAAAACCCTGGAAAAACGAGTTTATTGGGGGAGGGAGCAGATTCGGAGCCGGGATCCCTCCCCGTGTCAGCCTCTCTGCTGCCCCAGCCCCAGCAGAGCCCTCCCAAAAGGTCCCAAGAGGGAGGTTTGCACCGGGCAGGTCAGAACTGTTGGGGTTTTAAAAAAATCAAAGAAGACACTTGGGTCTCCCTGCGTGGTTCAGCACATGGTCCCCACTGCCCCACAGCTCCCTCCTCAGCACTGGAAACTGCTGCGGTTTCTACCAGTTTGCTGGTTTTATGTTTCCCTCTGAGCTTGATTAGGGCAAGAAAAAAGAAGGAAAGAAAAAGCAGTGAGTGGTGGTGTCTGGTAGAGGGTTCCTGTTCCCTGGACCGGCTGCAGGGGGGTTGTGTGGTTGCATTGAGCACCAGGAAATGTCCCACCAGTGTGTCCCACTGCCTTTCCAGTTTCACAGGATGCTGCTTCTGCCACGTTTCCCTGGGCTTTCCAAAAAAGAAGGACAGAAGTTACTTGGAGGGAAAGCCAGGGAGAGTGGGGCTGGAGGGAGAAGAGAGGGTGATGAGAGGACAAGGCGTGATGGTTTGGAACTGAAAGAAGGGAGAGTTAGGTTAGATATTAGGAAGGAATTCTTCACCATGAGGGTAGGAAGGCACTGGGACAGGTTGCCCAGGGAGGCTGTGGCTGCCCCATCCCTGGCAGTGTTGAAGGGCAGGTTGGATGGGGCTTGGAGCAGCCTGGGCTGGTGGGAGGTGTCCCTGCCCATGCAGGGGGGTGGATCTAGGTGATCTTTAAGTTCCCTTCCAACCCAAACCATTCCATGATTCTATGATCCTAAGAAGGACTTTGCTCAATATGATCATGGTCCTCCAAGTCTCCCTCCAGTTCTCAGCCTTTCCCTGACCTTTTTGGATCCTCTTGTCACCTACCTGCTTCTTGCCAGTGTCTTCAAGCTGTTGGAGACCCAGAGCTCCAGTTGGCACACAGAGCTCAGCTACCCAAGAGGCTGCTCTTCCAAGTGGGACCTTAATGCTGAATGCTGATGTTTCCCCTGAAATTAAATCAAATCCTTTCTTCACTCACTCTGTCTCCATTAAGTGGCTTTTTAATATCTATAGAGAATGGAAATTTTGATTGGATTTCAATGTATTTAATATTATACTTGGATTTATAATGGGGCGTAAAATGAAAGCAATTAAAGCAGTTGAAGAGAAAAAAAAAAAAAAAGTCTCCTTGAAAGAAAACCAGAAATATTCCAATCTGTCTTGGGAAGAACCTTTGGAGACAGGAAAATGCTCCGTTTTGACACCCCTGCCCTGCCCCCCTCAAAAAAGGTGCTGATAAAAACATCATCTTGACAGAGAACTGAATCAGCAATTTTTAGTAGAAAAGCTATTTTTGAGGGGGAAGGTTTCTCCATCAGCTGTGCCTGGCAACCCCCAGCAGGGAGGGGATGCTCTGGGATGCCTTCCTCCTTCTACTCTTTCTCCTCCTCCTCCTCTTTCTCCTCTTCCTCTTCCTCCTTCTCCTCCTCC